GGGAGGGGGGGGGGGTGGGGGTGGGGGGTCGGGGCTGGGCTTTTAAAACTTTTTTCCCTATCTAATTACAAGTTAAACAAACAAAACATTCTCTTACCTGGGCAGGTTTCATACACTTGTGGCTTGCTCATAGGAGAGGTGGCAGGGAATGGAGCTTGCTGGAGGCAGGTTTTAGCAGCCAGTTTGGGAAGCAATTCTGATTTCAAAAGCCTCTTCTGTACCATCAAGCTGTGCAGCTCTGAGTGCATCCTTGTGTCATTGCTGTGGTTTGTACCATGTGTCATTACAGGTGGGTAATAAATCGAATCAGCGGTGGGCCCAGCTACCACTTGGGAGAATGACCCTCTCTGCCTTTAAAGTCATGTGTAGAGTCAGACCCTGATCAACAAGTGTCAGCACTAGCACTGTAATAGCAATTCAGATTTTCTTGAGAAACAGGTAAAAGGGAATGGCAATGAAGGAAATCCTTTGTCTGCCAGCAGTTAGGAGAAGAATTGTCTTGAACAGTAAGGTGTAAATGAGAGAGAAAAGGGTGATGGTGAAGTGCAGGGGGCCCCAGGTAAATGTTGTGCTGCAGGCATGGGAATTAATTTGAGAACGTCAGTTTAGCTGAAGAGAATTTTCTTCTGACTCCCCCATTTTATGAGCACTTTCCAAAAGTTTCTGTTTGTGAGTAGTTAAACGGAGCTTTGTGAGTAGTTAAATGAAGCTCAGCATGTGATGCATATTGGTAGATAGTCCCTTTTTTTCCAAAATGAAAGGTTGCACAGATTCAGAGGTTGTGGTTGTCTTGCTTACATAGATTTTGAGAGGAGTGACACGGCAATACTGTTCTGTCGTGCTCAAGTCCTTAATATCTCCTGGATAAAAAAAATAGACTGAGCCTTGGGAACTGCATGATGTATTATTTTCCCAGAGCTCATGTCACTCATGTAGCTCATTTTGGAATTCTTTTCAATTTGCCAACACTTGTTTGGAAGTTGAATATTGGGCAGGTAGATCAGTGGCTGTAAGCATGACCCCACTTAGAAGTCGGCAGTAACTGACTTAGGTATTTCCCTATTTCTCTGTCACACGCCTCTACTCAGTTCATACTGGAATTGCATCCCACTTATAGCTATTTATCTTTCAGACAATTCTGGCTTTGCAATAACCTCAACACTTTTCAGACTTGGTTACTTTAAATGGCAGTTGAAGGGATGCGACCCAGACAACTCTGCTGCAGTTTTGAAGCTGTTCAGATGTCTCAGTGGTTCCTCAAGAAATAAAAAATGTTTTAAAAGGCTTTGCGATGAACAGAGGACCTTTCAGACTCTCTTCAAAGCACTTTTATCTTCATTTCAATACATAAATTAGATCTTTTTTCAGGCTTGCAGTAAGAAAGACAGAATAACAAAACAGTTTTCATTTAGTCCTGACACCAGCTCTGTGTTCAGATGACTTTCCCTAACTCAACACCCAGAAGCAAATTAAAAAAAACACCTGTCCTGACTTTCAGGGTGCTTAGTGCTTGTCCCATTTATGCAAAGGCTCATTCGTGTGCTTTGATTTACTGGGATTTGAATCACTGGAATAAATGACTTGGCTTTATAACACTATCCTAAATTTCTGATGTAAGGCCTATGAGGTCTGGGTGATAGGTAGCACTCCTGCGGAGATGTGTGTACACCTTTGCAGAAGCACAGCCTCATGCATCGAAGCATCAGTATCTCAGCAAAGTTTTGTTAATTTGCTGCATCACCTGCTGTTCCTTGGAGCTCTGAGCATTTACAGGACCCCATTGTTGTAGGGACCAAACCGGAAAAAGAACCCCACCTGAAGAACATGGACGCTATAGCTTTAATCCCAATTTTCAACACCATCCGTACTCCTGGGTCATAATTCTAATGTTTTGATATTTGCTTGGCTGATATTTCAGTCTCCATTATATAATGGACACATGTGGACAATGCAAGCATTTATTCTGCAAAATAGTAAGCAATTGTCTAAATTTATTAAGTCAGCAGTCTCACTGACTTTATCTGAACGTATCATAAGTTTGCAAGTAAACACACTTGTAAGTCTGTGGAGAATAAGAGCCAAATTGTACAAACTAATCCAGAATAAGACACGATGTGATGGTTTACTTCCGTCCTTTCTTCCCTCCCTCCCTCTGTCCTTCCATTTTATTTTCTGCAGTGATCAAGTTATCCACACTGATCCTTTGGGTTTTTTCTTGATTATTCTGCACATTCAAAATTGTCTATATGAACAATTATGACTGTCTTTAGATCAGGTTTCCTAGTATGCATACAGCTCTTTAGACGTATAAAAGCTGAATGTGATCGGCCTCTGAGGTTTCCATTTTTGCCATGCAGCTAAATTCTTGTTATTATTTGTTGTTTATAGTATGGTACTACCCAGATGCTGAAGGGAGTATTATGGCCCTGTTGCTCTACTTCTTGTACAAACATTCTGTTGTTTTCCACATTTCACAATAATTTTTATTCAGTTTTTTTTGTGTTTAACTGGAGAGCTTCACTTGCATGCAATCAGATTTTCCAAATTTTGCATATTATCCCTAGATAACAAGATCACAAATATTGCTGTTTCACCTCTCTAAGGAAACTCATTCTACACTTCTCTCTCTGGGAGCAATTATTTATTGCAACAATCAAAACTACATTTATTGTGGGAATTAACCATTTAGGATTGATTGCTTATAGCTTCACACATGGTTAATACAACTGTACTTCACAGGAGTTTAATGAAAGTTAGTGGAGTCACCTATGGAATAAGATAGAATTTAAATTGAGAGGACTGGGTCTGAACTTGTCTGCTGGAGTGTTCTGAAGCCCCTGTCACTGAGGTTTCCTTTCCATGAAGGTGCTGGCATGTGAGGGAGCTGATGGTTGCACACTGCCACGCAGGGGGACAGAAGCTGCCTTCCTCTAGGCACCCCACAGTCCTGGGTGGTGCATCCAACTGGCCAAGCGACCGTCTGGGAAGCACCACCGCTCCCTCCCTGGCAGCACCTCCAGTTGTTTGCACAAAGCAGATGGGGTGTTTGCACCCAAGTCTCTCCTTGACCCTCTCACCTGTGCAGAGAGTGTGTTGACATGACTATTTCAATGTTTTACTTGTGAGCACTACTTAGACATGTGTGGTATCCACATTGCTGTCTCCCATCTGAGCTTCTGCAGTCCTTCCACTTTCTTACTTTTCCAGCAGAAGTCAATTCCTCATCTCTGTGAGTCACCGTTGCTTTTAAGGCAGTGGCCACATTTCAAGTTTTCATAGAAAGTGCATCATAGAAATTTTCCACTTAGTCTTTTTTTTGTGGAGAACAAGACAAAATGCAGCTGATAACCCAGCAGTAAGGTGCGCATGTAGCATGAGTGCAGGTGGGCAGCCCTCCCACCATTTCTTGACCAGACAAGGGCTGGAAGCTCCTGATACGTACTTCCTCAGTACAGTCGTTTTCTGACTATACT